AACATGTGTAAATTAAGAAGCTAACCTGGGCAGCAAAATGCCAAGTCATAGTATTCGTAGGTCTCACTGCAACACAAGAACACATTGGCTCAAAAGCGATGGGAAACAAAAATAAGGAGAAAAAAACATACCAACATTTTGCAAATTCCATAAACTCGGGTGTTGCAAGGAAACAACCAAAGCAGAAACGGTAACGAAATTAGGCAAATCTTGACAGGACACCCGCACCGACGAGAATACCACACAATTTTACTAAGGAAACCCCAGGTAGAACCCGACATGACACAACATGAGTATGACTCATTTGAAATTCGCTAAACTTGTATTGATATTGACATTCCAGTAGCGAAGACGAGAAGGGTCAGCTCTAAAACTAAATCCACCTCGCTCAACCGGATCACCCCAACTTCAAAGAGCGACAGCAAGCTAAAATCACCAGGCGCATCGCTACCCAACTGGTGGAAAACCCAGAAACAAAGGAGCTCCGCAACCAATTCAAGAACCACGGAACGGCAATTCGACACGCAGAGCATCGAGGGAGGGGGAAGGCGAGCTCGCTCGCTCGCTCGCGGGGGAAGATACCTGGGGTTGTGGAGCGGGCCCACTCTGTTGGCGAACAGAGGGACGGGATCTCCCACATTGTAGCGGTGATCCTCCGGCGACGCCGCCGCCGCGAATCGATTCCCCGGCGAGATGATCGCGAGCAGCGCGAGGAGGAGATTCAGGCGGCGGGTCTCGAACGCCATGGATGGAGAGAGAGCGACCGAGAGAGTCAAACCCAAAATGGATGCAACGGGAGCGAAAAGTCAACGCGCAGTTTCTGAGAGCTCCGAGTCAAGCTCAGCTGCTTCAAGTACTTGGCCCGACCCGACTTGATGACGGGATGGAGTAAAGAAGAAGATCCGAACAGATGATAAGCCGAGAGCATTTAATAAGAATTTAATTAAGTTGCAAAAACTAGGAAATAATTCTTTTTCGTGACGATAGAATTTGGTGGTTGCACAATTTACCACCGACAAAGAAAGCAAAAATATTTCTCACCTTATATTTATATCGTATAAACTGTATTGAAGTGTACGAGATAAGTAGTAATTATATAAAAATACGGAGTGAGTTTCACTGTACATGCGATTTATTTAGTTTAATAATAGTGGGCAACACGACTCGCCTCATGTCCACTTAATTTATTTCAAATACAGTACTATAAAAAAAGGAGAAAAGGGAAAAAAAAAGAGGTCATTCTAATTCATACCTCCAACAATTTCGCTTAGGTGTGATCGGTTCTCGGTTTGGTCCGGTCTAGTCCCACCTAGGAATTATGAACCAGATTAGAAGGACCGGTTTTCAAGTTTTTTTGAATTGGGAACCAGATCACTTGGTCTTGGAATCGAACTGACCGATTCGGTCTGATTTTGGGGTGGTCTAATGGAAATGGTCTCGTTTTTGGAACCCTGAGGTGTTTGTGAAAATTCCTCAAAGCCAACGACTGTGAAACTTTTCTGATCTAAATAGCTAGATCCATTTGCAGAACCATCAACAGATTAACCAACTATGATTCAACTAAGGATCTGAGTAAACAAAATAGGAAAAAAGGACGATAGATACAATTATAATCAGTACAGTTCAATTTCACAAGCTCCTCATCAACAAAAATAACTAATAATACCACAAATGGTGAGGACCACGATGAGATCCAGCACACAAAACGATCCGATCTCACATCAAAGGGAAAATGATACAAATAGTTCCTGAACTTTGGCCCAATGTGCATTTTGGTCCTTGAACTTTTAATTTGTTCAATGTAGTCCCTAAACTTTAATTTAATGTACAATGTGGTCCCTGAACTTTTAATTTGTTCAATGTTATTCCTAAACTTTTGGTACATGTTCAATTCAGTTCCTAAACTATATAAAAATGTTCAATGCAGTCCTTTCCATTAATTCAAGTTCAGGGACTATATTGAACATTTTCACATAGTTCAGGGACTGAATTGAACATGTACCAAAAGTTCAGGGATGACATCAAACAAATTAAAAGTTCAGGGACCATATTGAACATTAGTTTAAAGTTCAGGGACTAAATTGAACAAATTAAAAGTTCAGGGACCAAATTGCACATTGGGCCAAAGTTCAGGGATTGTTTATATCACTATCCCCACATCAAATGACTAGATAGATGAATCAAGACTTGTGAAAAACAAACATATATCGCTCATGACAAGCAAAACCAAAAAGGAGTTGAGAGAAATGGAAGCTTTACTTGAACTGCGAATGACAAAGCTCAAGAAGGAGAAGGACAGAGAGATAGAGTGACCGGGAGCAAATGAAGAGGGACTGCTCTTGTGAGATGAGTGCGAGTGATGAAGATGAGAGCCGAGAGGGAAAGAGCGAGCTTGAGAGGCGTGAGAGGAAAAAGAGAGGGGAAAGAGGGATTATGGTTTACATTTTTTTAAGAAATAAAACAAATAAAAACAATAATTGATCTGGCCGGGGCTATTCAGGTGGGCGGTTCCACCCCTAGAAACGGGAACCGGACCGATGCTCCCGGAAATCTTCCGGAACCGGCTGGTTCGGTCCGGGCGGTTTCGTTGCCCACCCCTACTTCCATTGCCTATTATTTTCCTTATAATTATTTGCTAAAATACAGACCTAGAAATCGAGAAAGAAAAAGAAAAATCAAAACAAGAGGCGCGAACACGCTCGGAAAAAAGGCATACGACCCGACCCGACCCGTCCCGCCCCCATGAGCGAATTGCTTCTTCCCCATGACACGAAACAGTCCTCCGTCTCTCTCTCTCTCGCTCGCCCTCCGACGAAACAATCTCTGTATCAACATCATCGACAGCCATGGCGGGACGATCTTGACCGCGCCGTCGGTCCTCCTTCGGAAGCCGAACCGGCCTTCTCGCGGGGGCCGCATTCACTCGAATCGTGGCAGGATTCACCGGGTCGGTCGAGTGACGCGAGCTCCGTCGCCGCACAACTTCATCATCATCATCATCTCATGCGGTTTTGATTCCTATCCCTGGTGCGTTTAGATGATCTGACGGATTTGATGGTCGTCGTCGTCGTCTTGCTGCTTGCGCACTGTTTGGACTGGGTACGAGCGCGTTCGGTTTCGAGGATCACGTTCGTTGCTTGATCCGTTGAGGATTTCGTGTTCCGCCTGCTTGAAATGTGTTTTTGTTAGAGCAATCGGTTTGATCGGCGGTTAGGGCTAGGAATACCATTCGGTGACTGCGCGTTTTTTGATCATGGAGAGCCTGCCTCTCGAGGTGATCGGGAACATACTGTCGCGGCTGGCCGCGGCCAGGGACGTGGTCGTGGCTTCCGCGACGTGCCGGAAGTGGCTAGAAGCTCGCCGGAAGCATCTCCGCAGTCTCTCGTTTAGGGTCAGCGATTGGTCTGGTTATCGCGACTATGGTAGCAGTCAAGCGGGAATTTGGATAACCCAGACCATATTCCAAACCGCCGGATTGCGGAGCCTCTCGCTTCGATTGGATGAGGTCGACGAAGAGTTCTCGGCTTCCGCGGTGGTGGCTTGGCTCTTGTACACTAGGGAGACGTTGCGCAGCTTGGATTATAGCGTCCGGACGATCGGAGATGTGAACATCCTCGAAATTTGCGGGAGGCAGAAGCTTTAGATTTTGGACTTGTCGCATAGTTCTATCTCGGGGGTCGAACCAAATTATTACAGGTTTGCTGGCTTGAAGTCCCTCTCTTTGAGTTATGTCAGTATCTCGGCATTGGATTTGAGTCTTCTAGTCAGCACGTGTCCGAAGCTTGAGAAATTGGATCTCATTAGTCCAGTCATTGCAATGTCAGATGCACAAGTCACAGTTGAGGTCAGTAGTGTTATGTTGAGGCGCTTTTACATTGAGGCGACAAGTTTGGACAAATTCGTTTTGGAAGCAGATAGTATCGAGTCTTTGCACCTAAAAAGTTGCTCCCTTGAGCTTTTCGAACTCAATGGAAAGGAGACTTTGAAGCATTTCAAGATTGACGACGTAAGCATTTTACATCTTGATATTGGTGATTCTGTTGATAATCTTGACATAGTGGATGTTAAAGACTTCACCATTACATCCCCAAAGTTCTTTCAGATGATTTCGAAATCAGCAAAATTGAGGAGGCTACGACTTTGGGATGTAATGTTTGATGATGAGGATGAGATTGTGGAAATAGAAACCATTGCTCTCTGCTTTCCACAACTTAGCCATCTGTCGTTGAGTTGCGACTTGAGAGATGGAATGCTTCAATATGGTCTTCATGGATCTTTTCATTTTGAAAATGTGGTCGTTTTGGAGCTTGGATGGACATTTCTGAACGATCTCTTTTCAGACTGGGTCGAATTAATGCTAAATTGTTGCCCGAATCTCAAGAAGTTGGTTATTAGTGGAGTAGTCTCAGACCTCAAAACCCATGAAGAATGTCAGTTGCTGGCCAGTTTCACCTCAGCTATTGTATGTGTCATGCGGGAATATGTCAACATAGAAGTAGTGTTTGAGTACAACTAGAATATTGTCAAAAGACTGTTTGCAGAATTTCAATTTTGTGTTACATATATGTGAACAAAGTCCAATTTTTCGTCACATGTACAAATGAACAAACTACAAATGACTCCTTTTATATTTTTGTTTTCATTAATGTGATATTGGAAAAAGCTGTTAATTGAGAGTCCTAATTATAAAATATAGCTTCGTTCAGTGAACTACAAGTCAAATTTAGGTTTCACTTGGGTTGCTTGCCAATCTACAATGGCAAGCCTGGGATGACATGTGCTGCAAGATTCTTACCAGCGACTTTGTCTATGGAAATAATTTTCCATAAATTGCTGGCTCTAATTCTTTACTTGAATATGTAGATTTTCCTCATATATGAACAACCAATCAAGGGCCACAAGATGCTTACAAGTAGCTAGATCTATGAAAATAATTATCCACCGCATGTTGGTTTAAGCCTTTTCTGTAACTTTTGAATGTTTCGACGTAAAATAGGTATAAGTCAGATATGATATCTAAATTATGCATCACCTTTTTTCCTCGTTGATATGTACCTGCAGCAACCCTGGAAATTTGGTTTAGTTTGTTTCAACATTTTAGTTTCCTTTTCTTATATGATGACTTTGCCATCATTATCCAATATGAGGAACTATTTTACTTTGATTTGTTTAATGTTAAGTCAACTCAGTTAGCTGAGCTACCTTTTCTTAACACGTGTACATGTGAAGACTACTTCGAGTGCTGTGACAGATCACACTAGAAAGCTATGACAGCATGATCTATATGTACAGCTATACCCCAGACTTGGCCAGTTAGTTGCTTGAGAAATGGGAGGAAGGTGAAGATGTAGAAAATTCATGTCAATAGCGAGACCTGGAGAAGATTGATGATGCGATGGATTTACTTTAGATCGTTAAGGTTCATTTTGTTCTCATTTGCTGGATCTGGATATTCAACTTATCTGGCAGCCAAGCTAAGTATCGCAACATCAGTAGTGTAGTATCATTAATATTCAGTACTGAAGATGATTCTCTTTCAGGCTCAAAAAATATGGGTTGAAATTCAATTTAGACATTTGATTCTAAAAGCTTAAGCCTGTTTTCAGACTGGAATATGATTATCTAGGCAAGTAAGAAGCACCATCATTGTTTTTCCTTTTCTTTCCCTACCTGAATAGACCTGTAAAGGTAAATTAGACAATGGCCACGGAGGCATATTTTTGCTTCCCATTAGATCTCTATGCGCAGAAGGCTTATTATTCAGTGACTTAACATCGCATCCTTGTCGACAGTCTAAGTAGGAGTCAAGGTGTAATGCAAGCACTGGGTTAAGTTCAGAAACCAAGGGACCTTAGGTACTGAATTTCTTCAATCTAGTTTTAGATCTCCTCTGTGATTTATATGATTGCATAATGATGCACCATGGTCTTATCTACAGTTGTGCAAGCATAACCGCATCTGGCTCTGTCATGTCTTCCCACTCAGAGAAGCTGTGCTTTATAGATAGGCGATCAATTTTTCTTTTAACCATAGTACGTGATCAGACTTTGCTGAGCATGAAGGCAAAGGGAGACTCTCTTCACTCTCAATGGATGGCCAAAAACTAGTTGTAGATTCAGTACCAGGTGGGTTACTTCTGTTGTGCTGTAATGTGTATTTGTGTGATGAACTGGTGAGGCAGTAAGAGTGTCACTCAGATATTTCAATTTTGCATTCTAAACTGTAATATGTCAAGATATGTGCACTGTGGTGCCCTAGCAGAAGTCTTTAGCACATATTGGGTTACCAGTCAGTGCCAAAACTGAAGTGAAAAATTCCTGGAACTATTTCGAACCTGCAAAGTTCCATTAGTTGTTGAGCAACGTTCTCAGCAAGATTGTGGCATACTGGTAAAGTACCAATTCCAGCCATCAGCATCGTTCAGGATTTATCTTGTCAATATATGTATACACTGTGTAATTTTTCCAGGTTGAAACTAAGAATCTTGCATCTATACGGGGGATTGAGGTTTAGAAGTTGCTTGGAAGGACGAAGTCTTGTGTTACTTGGGGTAAGATTGTGGCGTTGGAGATCAAAACGCCGCCAATTTGATCACATTGATACGATCTTCCAAAGCTTCCTAAATCATCAATTGTTAGATATAACTGGTGCTTCTTAATTTTCAGAATGATTGAATCTCGTTCTGGTGGTTGAGGTTGTGTAAACTGCAAAAGATTCTGCTTCTTATGTTGACTTTGATAGGTTACAGGTATATTGACATCCATTCATTATGATTATGAATCCCAAGGAGAGAACTGTTCTCTCCATTCTTGTCCATATGGCCAACCGTTTTCTCTATTATTGCTCTCAGTATAGCCACTTCTAAGTTTGAAGAGGTTGATATAAATCAAGCATTTTGGCCAAAGATGATCTTGTAATTGGTGGGAGGGAAAGGCGGACTCAAGGGGGGCGCTAGCTCTCACCCCGGCCGTTAGGTACATGGTGCAATTTTCATGAACTATGTATCGTATCTCATGTAGTTTCTTGTAAAATTCCTTAATCCCATCCCCTCCGCTCTGGGATTTTACAAATACTCTTTTACTTCGTCTCCTCTTGTCTAAAACTCTCAGCTAGCCATATGCGACAGGTCAAGGAAGGAATGGCTCTCATCAGTAATCAGCTTCTTCAAGGCACCTGTCTGCAATTTGCCATTGTTGGTCGAGCGCGAAAGCAGCTGGTTCTTCAAGTGACTTACTTGGTCACGGGGACTTTCTTCCGCGAAACTCCTTGGATTAAAGAAGCAATACGTCCAGTAGCGATATCCTAAGTTGGCTGCAATTAGAAAATAGGCCCATTCCATCTATCTTTCGCCATTAGAAGATCCCGAGGGAATGATCTTGAACAATAACATCACCTATACCTATGCACGAAGCACCTAATCAATGAGACCTTTTAAGGAAATAACTGTGCTAAATGCCAATCACTGCAAGATCCTCGGAGTCTATGATTCAGACCGGTCTCTCCAAATGTTGGACAAGAGAAACAGGTTGGGATTGGGAACTTGGGAGGTCCCTCGTAGGACTTAAGTATGTGTCCTTACCTAATTCACGAACCACGTCTCGGGAAGGGCAAACCCTTTGTGTTGTCCAATTAGTGATTGGTTTTGAGCAGGGAATTATTGGTTTGTAGGTATACTACCCACGATGGGCGTAGATGCACGACTAGTGTTACTTTTTCAAATGGAAAGTTGCATCCACCTCTTTATGAAAAGATCTCATGGGCCCATTTACCTAAAAGTCTCCGTCTAAAATTAGGGAGACCAAGCCCTGTCATAGATTTATTTTCAATAATGCTAGCCATTGACATGTAAGTCCAAACAATCTCTCTCTCTCATAAGTTTTTCTACATTCTTTGGGGTAGGACACTTCTCCTACAAGAATATGATATGTCGAGGTTCAGGCGAAGGCATTGTTTACATTAGCCACATACATGATGGCCTCAGTGTAAACGAATGAAGGGACTTACATGTCAATGGCTTTGCCTGGGGCATGCACCCGAAGACCTCAGGAACAAAAAAGATAATGAATTTCTATTATTGGAAAGGAATCTCAATGTGGCATGATTTTAGGTGATGACAGGGAATGGATGTTGACCCATTAACAAAGGAGATAATACCAAACAAATCCATCTCATCGAGCGGGGTTTTTAATGATGCAAGTGGGCACCTTTGCCTGTGCTTTGATTATTCAAATGTTTTGGTTGAAATGGCATTGGATCAGAGTTTTGGGTACAGCCTCTCTCTCTCTCAAGGTTCTTGTATTAGGTGTCAAGAGTTTAAACGAATCCCCTTGGAGGGTATTCAAAATATTTAAGAGGAAAGCCCTTTAATTTAAGGAAAATGTGAAAATTTCCCCCCTCACCTTCTCCTGAGAAAAAAGATGTTGTCTCATCCTGCTAATCAGAGCATGTATCTATTGTTCATTACTCATTTTTAGGTACAACAAGTACTTGCTGCATGCTGATGATAAATGGGCCAATTGAAGAACACAGGCGGTTGCAGAGAGAGAGAGAGAGAGACTGAGAGAGAGAGAAGGACCAATGGAAAGACACAGGCGGTTGCAGAGAGAGAGAGAGAGAGAGAGAGAGTGGAGTAGGAGTCGGTGATTCTAGTGGGTTCCTTCTAAGGACCCCACCTCTTAATTGAAATTTCTTTCTTTTTAAAAATATTTCATTTTTGTATTATAGGAGCATATAAATAATTTTCCAAAGGGTGGCCTGTGAAAGGTCTGCAAGGACAAGATTTTCTGGACCTATGGGCCAAGTCTCAAAAACCTGCTGCAAGTGTTCACAGCAGAGGGTAAGAGCAGCACCCAGAAACCCAAAAAAGGGACCTGTCTAATATAAGAGTTTCTTCACCTAAAAGTAGAGAAGCTAGAGAGAGAGAGAGAGAGAGAGAGAGAGAGAGAGAGAGGGAGAGGTCCATGATGTTTGTATGTACTCATCTGAAAAGAAAGTTTCGATCTTCTTGGGTTAGTTCTGTACCTCTCAACTTCATGTCCAGCTCAAAATATGCCATTACTTCCTCGTAGAATTTTCTGAGTCAATGTCAACTCGCATGTTCTTCACCACCTGCTGAATCAGAATCTCTCAGCTCTTCAAACTCTTCATAATCTAACGTGTTTCTTGGTTTCTAATGTTTCAGTTGCTTATGAGGAGAGGGAGATGAGCACGGTTTGAGCTTCGGAAAGTTGTTGGCATGGCGAGCCACAGACTTGGAGAAACTGGTTTATCAGAAGCGGGACCTTCAAGTCATCATCATCACCATCACCATCACCATGTTCCTTATTCAGTTCTCGGAATTAATGCTTCGTCCTCCAGTTTCATGTATTAAAAAAAAGACTACAACTTTTTCTTTGTTTCTGATAACTGGTCAAAATGGCTTGTGTGTTTCGTCTTCTGACATGCACGGTTCACTGTTGGATCTTTTTTGTTTTTTCCGGATCAGCAATCAAGAAGGACCAGCTTTTGATTTCGGAGAGCTAGAAGAAGCAATGGTTCTGCAAGAAGTCAATATCAGAAATGATGCAGATCATAAAGCCTGTATGCCAATTCTCGTAAAAAACCGCAGTGTTTCTTGATTTTGTTTCTACTTCATTCGGTGACGTCTTTATAAGCACGATAAATTATTTTCTAGAGAGAAAGAAAAATAGCCTGAAAATGTCTACAGAGCGCAGAGGCCGAGAATTTCCATTTCCATTACAGCAATCATTTTTAACACAAGGAAGACTCGAATGGCGTGAAGCTACAACCATATAGAAACAAAAAGCCCCACCCCTTTTTGCTTGGTGAAACCATAAAGCTTTGAAGAAAAAGATTGATGTGGGTCGAAAAAGATTCAGAATATATGGAGGGGTGTCTTTAATGTTTGGGCGATTCTCTGAGATTTCTCTTTGGTGATATCCTGCAGCTTTTTACTCATCAGGAAGGCCTTCAGCTACTCTGGAAATGTTCCCTTCGTGGCCAATGAGATTCCAGCAAACCCCAAGAGTAGTTTTCCAACCCCCTTCTCCTTCATTTTTCGACATGCCCCTTTTCTATTTTTCTTCTCTACTATCTCTTTTTGGTGAATATCTTAAACATAAAGCACAACATCAGTCTAAATCACAACCTCCCATCAATTTCCCACGACGGTCATGTATATCTCTCTCCCAGTTCAACAAATCTTTTAGGTCATCTTTATTATGCATTTTTTTTTTTTGGGTTGAGGGGTTGCTTTTTCAAAAGACAAAATGGGGTTCATTTAATGTTCCTTTTTTTCCCTTCTGATGCATCATATATGTCCATTTGGATGCAGGGAAGTTCAAGGTCAGTAGGAGAGAGCAGCGGTGACTCAGAAGGATCGGGTGCGAACAACCTCAACACAACACCACTTTCTTCGAGCAAAACTGAGGCGCAGCTTGTACTAGAGTCGCCCATCAGTAACAAGGCTTCTTCTTCTTCTTCTTCAGCTCATCATCAAAAGGCACAGCAACAAGAAATGGCAAGCGTCGTCTCCCAAGATCCACCTGCTTCTTCAAGATCGGCCCAAGATAATAACAAGGTTCTTCTTTTCTTCTTTTTTCTCGTTTAATGCCTCTCCGGCCAGGACAAAAAACATTTTTTTGCACTTGCTCTCCTATTTCTACTACAATTTTTATTTCATGCTATCGAGTCTACAAACCTTTTCTTTCTTTGGGCAATATGAAGCTACTTATCTTATAAAAACTCTTTTTTTTCATATTTTAGGGGTCTCGGATATCGTTGTGATTCTGTCTCTCTAGCTTTCCCGGTCCTATGTGAGAGAGTCTTGTCTTTGTTTGGATGCTTTGCACAGATCCCAACAACTACCTGGGAAACCAAACAAAAGTCCTTGACAAGAAAGACATTGAGAGGTGAAAATCAAGGTGTTTCTGTTCCTATGATATGATACCTTAAAGAATTTGGAGCAAACCCAAAGAAAAAGGACCTCTCACTCACTGAGTGGTTATTGCCACTGTTCATCATAGTACTAACGACCAACTCCCACTAAGCTCAGTGGAGATTACATCAACAACATAATCCCAAAAAGAAAAAAAATGGAAAATGGGAAAAAAAGAGAGAGAACCAATTGCATGACAGAAATTTTGTCTGTAATTTGAGTCATGGTATTATTACCCACCTGGCTGGCCATTTTGTAATTTGAGTCATGGTATTATTACCCACCTGGCTGGCCATTTTGTATGCTATACTTCTCTTTGCCAAAGCTCCATTTCATACTTGTTTGGATAAAAGAGAAATCGAAAAGAGACGCCCTTTTATATTCAAATCCTCAACTACCGACACCAATTGAAGCAAGCATCATTATACAAAGGGGAAATATATATCATGCTTCACAACTCTTTCTAGCTATTGGGGTTTCTATTCTGATAATTTTTTCATTTTATTAATATAATATTTGCGTCATTTCTGCAGAAGAAGGGAACAGCTGGTACAACCTCCGAGAAACATCTCGATGCCAAGGTCCTTAAATCACTAATTTACTATCATATGCTGCTAGATTATGGTTCTAAACGTGAAGGACAGACAGCTTATATGTGTCTGTAGACTGTATGGAGTCTTTACTCATTGGGTTTAAAAGAATGGCATTTTTCGTTAATTAATTGCAGACAATGAGACGTTTAGCTCAAAATAGAGAAGCAGCTAGAAAAAGTCGTCTCAGGAAGAAGGTACATTCATGCACATTTTCTAGCAGCTCAAAGTCTCCATTTCTGTCTTATATTCTGATACATATCATTATCACATGCCCTCTTTAATAAACTTGGATTGACAGAAAAATTTTCTTTCCAACAGGCTTATGTACAGCAGCTTGAATCAAGCAGGATCAAGCTTACTCAATTAGAGCAAGAACTTCAGCGCGCAAGATCACAGGGCTTGCTTTTGGGCTCTTATGGCGGCGCCGGTGGAAATATGAGCTCCGGTGAGTCAAAGATGCAGTGTGCTTTTCACCATCTTAATAGAAAGCCTAAGACGGAGTTCAATATTAGTGGATATATTAGATCGTAGTTCCTTCATTTCCAGCGGTTCAATATCATAAATAACTTTCGACCAAAAGAAAAAAAGTATAATGAATAACTGAGGTGAATTATGTATTCATTCGTTCTAAACACCGAGCGTTTTGTTTATAGGGGCTGCGGTATTCGATGTGGAATATGCAAGGTGGTTGGACGATGATCACCGGCACATGTCGGAGCTCCGGACCGCATTGAAAGCCCATTTGTCGGACAACGATCTGAGGATGATGGTGGATGGTTACATTTCCCACTACGACGAGATTTTTAGGCTCAGGGGGGTCACCGCCCGAACCGATGTCTTTCACCTCCTCACCGGCATGTGGAGTTCTCCCGCCGAGCGCTGCTTCCTCTGGATTGGCGGGTTCCGGCCCTCCGATCTCATCAAGGTCGGCAATAGAATTTCGCGTTCATTTCTTATCATTTTGCTATATTTTCATGACAATTTATCTCGAGAAGTAATGTAACATATTTTTCTATTGTTTTAAAATCATAATTTGAACAAGCAGCAAAAAATAAAAATAAAAATAAAAGGATTTAAAGAAAGTAGATTTCGCCCACCATTATCTTATGATTTGGACGATTCAGCCGACAGCCGTTGACCGTTTTCCCCTAAAATCTAGTTTATCGTTAATTATTGTCCGGCATATAGGGCTAAAAGTCCATGGGCCAAATGACCATACTGCCCCCAGAAAATCCAGAATTCGTCTTCAACTTCTTCTGCACGATATTGTAAATCTGTTTCTACTAACGAAAATAAAAAATGGAAAGAACAGTTCAATCTAAATCTTAGCTTTGTTACTGATGGATTCAAGTAGTGTGTTTCAGATGTTGAGACCCCAGCTAGACCCATTGACGGAACAGCAGCTGATGGGGATATACAGCCTCCAGCAATCGTCGCAGCAGGCGGAGGAGGCGCTCTCGCAAGGCCTCGACCAGCTCCAGCACTCGCTCGTCGACACCGTCGCCGGCGGGCCCCTTGTCGACAGCATGCAGCTGATGGCCGTTGCCCTCGGCAGGCTCTCCAACCTCGAGAGCTTCGTTCTCCAGGTATGTACGAGTACTGGACACACCATTAAAATTTTGAGGTCATTATGAGCGTTGCGTAAAATGAATTCGACAGAAATGAGCATAAGAAGACAATAAATTTTTAATTATGAATATGTAAACGTGACTGTCTTGAAAGTTTGTGTGCTTTCGTCAAATGACATCACATGAGATAAGTAGATACGCTAATGTGTGATGTCCAAAACTTCGGAAAAGATCATGAGGTGACAAGTGCAGGTTCATGTCGACAGATGTTCTTGAAAAAGATACACTCCAAAGAGATTCCCCTTTCGAAGTACTTGCTCAGCTAGGAAAGATTAGTGTTACATCAAGAATAATTTGCATCTTTGTGATAGAAACTTCAGTGACAAGGATGATGTTGCAAATGATATTCACTGCAGGCTGACAACTTGAGGCAGCAAACCCTTCATCAGTTGTGGCGGATATTGACGGTCAGGCAGGCGGCGCGTTGCTTTTTGATGATCGGAGAGTACTACAGCCGGTTGCAAGCCTTAAGTTCGCTCTGGGTGTCTCGTCCACGGGAGTAAGATCAAATCCATAGTCACCATTTTATGCAATCTCTCTGGATATATATAAGCCGAGAATTCTGATTACTTGCTATCATGAAACAGTTAATTGTTAACAGATTATTTTGGAATGAACTTGAATACTTCTTTATACTCAGTACATAGACCGCGCTCATTCACACTGCTGCAACTGCGCAGGAACTCGATCAATGACGACGGGTCGTGCCAAACGACAACGGATCTGCAAGCGGTTCAATCTGCTCAAAATCACTTCCCTCCTTTCCGATAGCCTACAGCTTGCGCGACGCATTCAAGTGCATACCTGCTTTAATTACAAAAATGTTGGCAAGGTTCCTAAGCCTTAGCTAATTAGAGGGAAAAAATATAGCCGTTCTTCCTTCTTCTTTTTTCCATTTCAGTTGCTTTAATTATCACGGTTTCTTTTAAGTTTCATTAGTGAATATTATGATGTAATCATCTTGTAAATGTGAAATGCTCTGTGCAAATTAGTTTAGAAAGGTGTCTTACGTGCTTTTCAAATTCCATAATGTAATTATATATTCTAGCGGAGGGATTTTATGTGAAATCTTAAGAACCAATTTGCGTGAGTCGATAAGATATCGAGAAATATTTCAAGAATTAGTGACTCGGACAAGATATATCATTAGTGCCAAATAATTTTAAAACAAACTGAAATGGAAACTGTCGTCTATTACTAAAAGTTGAATTCAATCATCAGTACGTACAATTGTTACTCGTACACTTGCCGATGCCACAACCCAGTTTGTATTACATTGCCAATATAAATACCGAAACAAAGTGCAAGGAAATTCGAGCTCATTTCTGTCGAGTCCGGCTATTCGTTCCTTGGTTACCAAGTCAATTCATTTTTCTAATGACCATTCAATTCAAGGGCCATCTATTCACCATTGGGATGCACCAGAAGTCACAAGGTATTGATTAGTCTAATCACGCAAGGTTGGCATTGCATTGGCGTCATTGTCAGCGTGCCTTTTGGCCTCAGCATACACACAATTTGCATATAAGAAGGCGACCTTATCTCACTTCTTTTTAATCTCGTTATTATTTGCGCACGTCCCTTTTCAAGATTAGGTCTCTCTGATTTAATTAAAAGATTAGAAAAGAACAAAAAAAGGGGGTTAATGCTTCTTTCGCTTTCCACGTCTTTACTTTAGCAGCATTTGCAAATTTATAAAAAAAAATTTTAAAAATCAAAAACGTGCGAAGGTGGGAAAAATGGGAGTCGTTATTTGATGTATTTGACCTTTTCATGGTAGAATATTTTTAAGAAAAAGAATAAGTAATCGTTGAGAAAGTTCGTGACCTGACACTAATTAAGCTCGTTTTAGACAGCAAATTTCTGTAATTAAAGCGGAGTTTGTGTTGGGTTGACGATGGCCATTGCGGTATGGCTTGTGCGTGGCAATCACATCCTCTATGGAGCTTGGAAGCAACAGTTAAGACCAGGACGAACTTGGTTCTTACCAAACGACTTTCTAAAAGATTCACGTTTGATGTCGATTTCTGATCGCGAATTCATGTCATCTTTGATCGCATAACTTGCTAATGAACACCAGTCATTTTGTATCGAGCTCGTGTCATCTTTGAATCGCCTATTTTTAACCACAATATAGTAAAGAATTACGGATCTATTGTCTGATAAAAAGAAGAAGGCAATACAAAAGATTAGATTGAACCACCAGAATATGTCCTGTCCTGGGTCACGTCAGGACATGTTTGAGATCATCAACAACCTTTGCCACTCGCCCGCTGCAGAAACCCACGATCGGCCCAACCTTCTTGGGATTCTGGTCCAGCCCTTTCAAAGAAAGTGTTGCACGAGCTGATCTTCCAGTTCGCTTCCCTTCATTGCGATTCTGGCCCATCATTTCCATTTGGTTCACCGACAATACGGTGCTGTAATTAGCTCTCCATTACATGCCCTTCTTACTCCATAAGTGGTTGTCAAATAGGTCATCTCAAGTTACCCAAAACTCGTTTTGTCTCCCCCCTTCAAGGCAAGGCAAAGAGGGTCCATCACCCACACGTACACTTTCTGAAACTGTACGAGAAGAGCCAGGTCTCTGGCTGTTGGGTGGGAGACATCAGGCATCATCTGTCATTCATGGCATCCTCTTGTTTCTCAGGATTAGCAACGTTAGGCTCTCCAAGTCAATGATTTTCCATTTGGGGGGGGAGGCGGTGGTGGTGTGGTGTAACTTGTGATGAGAGTCGTTGTTCGATACGTTAAACTTGGGCTCTTCAGAGCGAGGATTGATGGTCTTGGAGTTAAAAGGGCAGAACCAGAGTTAGAAAAAAGAAAAAAAAGCCGAGTGCAAGTACCCTTCACATGGAAGCGAGCGTGTGAAGTCCCGCAAGATTCTATCAGTAGTGCCTTTTGGGTTCATAGGGAACTGACTCGTCCTCAAAGTTTGGCCCTTCTGCAGATTTTTTCTCTTCACTCGACGGAGAGGAGTAGGTGCACCTAATGGTCAGAGAGAGAGAGAGAGAGAGAGAGAGAGTCCAAAAGCATCAGCTCCTATTGATGGTCTCTCTTCAGAAGCTTCCATAACGTGACATTATACTTCATTTTCTTTGTTAAGTAGCTTTAAGGAATCAGATGGACGTGATCAGGGGCGGCCACGGAAATTCTCGCGAGTCGTCTGCTTGAACACTGTTCTCCAAACGATGGACGCCACTTCAGCAGCACGAGCAAGAGCGCCATAAAATATCCTACTCAGAAATGACTTTATGAGGCAACGCATTCTGACGCGATTTAGTCAAAGTCTTCAGGCTGCCTCAAATCAACAATAGCACAAATAATGCATCTCTCATAGGAGAAGACAATCTGGACTTCCGAAGCCGCTGAAAGACTGGAAGTTTACTTACCATCTGTATAGTTTCTTCAGGTAAGATGGATTCTTGCTCTTCTTCTTCTTCTCCTCCTCCTCCTCCTGCTTCCTTCTTCTGAGGTCCTTCTCTCTTGGATTGTAGCTAACTCGTGTGTAGGCCACTAGTTTCAGGGATGATTTCGAGAGTGGTGGCAGTTTTGCTGATGGGTCTGATGGTACTATACAAGGCCGCACAGCTTCCTCCTCCGCAGGATGCTGTACTCCCAGCAGATGCTGTAACTACCAGTACAAGGATCAGGCTCGGCGACGGAAGGTATCTGGCTTACAGAGAGAGGGGCGTGGCTAGAGAAAGATCGAACTACAAGGTCATTGTAGTACACGGCTTTGGGAGCTCCAAGGAGATGAATTTTCAGGCACCCCAAGTACGAGAATGATTTCCCCTTGCATTGTATCTGATATGATTAGACCGTAGGCTGCCGTGCCAAATCGGCAACCACTTCAATAGCAGAGATAATGTTGAATATTATCGAAACACAGAGTGTGACTAGGGACAAAAGTACACATAGGAGCACGCATCCAGAACCACTCTATATTTCTTCTTCACATATATTTCACATCTCGGATAGAGCAATAACCTGAAGATGAGTCCGCCTGTATCATGCCACTATTCTTTTTCAGTTTATAATTTCGTCCCCGGCCTTTGAGGAATGGAAATCAGCAAAATTCTATTATGAAGTACGTCTATGAACTTAATTATTTTCGCAAAGGAATGTCGTACCCTATCAACGGTGACATATTTTGGCCAAAAGATTGACAGTAAGACTACACAACTAGGAAGGCCATCAAGTTCATCAGAGGACAGAGTATATGATTTGCATTTATGTATCAATGCAAGTTTCTGAGTTTTAAGTTTGCAGGAACTGATAGAGAAGTTGGGTATATACTTTCTGCTATACGATCGAGCTGGGTATGGAGACAGTGATCCTAACTCAAAGCGCTCCTTAAAGAGTGAAGCTTATGACATTCAGGAACTTGCAGATCAATTAAAACTGGGGCCCAAGTTTTATGTGATCGGGGTTTCAATGGGATCCTACCCTGCCTGGAGTTGCCTAAAACACATACCACATAGGCAAGTCTCATAACCTTCAAATAACTTGTAGCCCCTTCTGGAAACAAATCTTATAGTGCATGGTCGTGCAGACTAGAAGGCATGGCTTTAGTAGTTCCAGTCATCAACTATTCTTGGAAATCTCTTCCGGAGGATTTGACTAGACTGGACTACAGGAGAAAGCTCATCCAGTGGACCCTCTGGCTTGGAAAGTATACCCCCAAATTGCTCCACTGGTGGGTGACTCAAGAATGGCTTCCTTCAACTAATTTCTTGGAGAAGAACCCAATTTTTTTTAACAATCGAGACGTTGATGTCCTCAAGAAGACACCTGGATTCCCAATGCTCACCAAGGTACTTTGTATTACCAATGTGTATGTGAAGGTTTACCTGAATGGCCCTTGTTCTGTCTATTCGTGCTCACAAAGACAAATTCAATCAGCTAAGAATAGAGTTTAAGAAAAAAGGGCGGTGTCCTTATCAGTCTATGGCCAATCCTTGCTGGGGCTCTTATGATCCTCTCTTCCCATTTTCAAGGTTTCTTTCTGACTATAGAAGGCCATTGTGAACAGGATAAACTAAGGAGAAGGCAGGTGTTCGACACACTCCTAAATGACTTCATGGTCAGTTTTGGCAACTGGGAATTTGATCCACTGGATTTAAGCAATCCGTTCCCACGGAATGAAAGCTTTGTTCATATCTGGCAAGGGTACGAAGACAAAGTAGTGCCCTTTCAACTTCAACGGTATGTTTCAGGAAAGCTACCCTGGATTAGGTATCACGAAATTCCCAATGGCGGACATCTGATTGTGCATTACAAGGGGGTATGCGAGGCAATTCTCTGGGCTCTTCTAAATGGAGAACATCTTCCGGATAAACCGGCAACAGCCATGACTTTACACAAATTGTGACTCGCGTAGCTTCTGCAGCTCTTGTTGTCAATAATATATGTGTAAGTGTACTGATCTCACCGTGATACATATACCACTGAAAATTTGGGGGCCCTTGAATGATATCTTCTTCTCTCCATCTGTAAGGCTCAGGTGGGAAGCGATCCCCCACTAGGCCACCCAGCTACCATACCTTACATTTCAGGAAATCTAGAGTCAGTACTGACTGAATTATTTACTATTGTCGCCCTTTCGGATTTAATATATGAACGAAATTGCGGTACTCCAGCAAAGCAATGGCATCAAAATTAACTCCCGTAGATTGATAGTAGTTCATCAGCCGATCAACTCCCAACATTTTCCACCAAGAAATAGAAAAGCACAAAAATTTGGCATTGCCATTAGGAAAACTACATCTAGAGCTCGTGCATCACATATGATTAGGACATACCAGGAGAATGAAGCCTGAAAACTTTGCACTTTCACCTTATATAAAGAAGTTACACGTGCCGAGGAATAACTTTCTAAAATCTCTAGATTTAGGGGGGAAAGAAAAAAAAAGTAGTCTACAGTTCTGCTGGGCCTTTCAACAAAAAGTTCAAGCTCGCACGAAGCTCTGGACTTTGAAAACTTAACAGCATTGACTAAAAACCGCCAAAAGACATGAACTTTAAGCTAGTCGCACACCCAACTGAACAAAGATTTTAGAAGCATTCCCATAAAAGCTGAGCGAGAATCACTACGGTGTCCATAATGTTTGGTTTTGACTAATGCACAAGGAATCAGTGTTTTCGGGTTCTTTGATGAACACATTTAGTGTCATATAGACAGGGTACAGTGTTCTTCATTCACCTGCACTACACACCTAACATGCTAGCAATCTAAAACGCAGCACACTATGTGAGGTTTGAGTGGAGCTAGAAGAAACAAGCAAATACAAATAGTACTAAAAACTGGCGATATATTTCGTTAATATTGGTTGTCGAGAATACCATTGTTGTCATCATTGAGTCATGTGTGCTGATTTGAATAATTGGAATTACTAGGATAACACCTTGGCTTTTCAATAAGATTACGTATCGCAATACTTCAGGCATTTTAAATATCGCCCTAATACCGGGTTTATTTTTTATTTTGGTAAAAAAGTGATGTCGATAAGTGTCCCGAGATATTTGTTGCTTTGGTTTTTTGGCAAGTAACTTGAATCTTTTATCACGCATATATGGGAGGACCTGTCCCAATCACAAGTCCAATCACATCTTGAAAGACAAAGGAACGCTCCCGATTACACACAAACTTCTATCTGCGTCAGATAAGGGAAGTTATCCTGCAAGTACCAATTTACTTTAGTTCTGATGCAGAAGAGAACATTCCTTCTCAAACAAGGAACAACGCCATTTTGATATACTTCATTTCCTTCCTTCCAAAGATAGTAGATGGCACCATCCCATGCCATTTCTTTGCCTTTCCGAAACCAGCAGCATCCAATCCAGCTCTATCTCCCAGCCATGAGCTGCTCGAGACACACTGCATAGCTGAAGAAAATATGACCCCACTGCATTTGAGAAGGGCACTTGAGAAACGAGTTGTCTTGACACTGAAGACGATTTGCAAAGCAAAGCATTAATTAGCCAAAGAACCCCACTTGCCAATTCTGTCTTGAGTAGCTGGCCTGTTAATCATGGCAAGCCAGGAGGTGAGAGCAAGTTTAAGAACATTTAAATTAAACCAAATGAGTCGATTCCAGGGGACCTGCTGCTTCTTATTCCTCACCAGAGCCCAAGTATCAGCTTGACGAAATGTTCCAGATTATGAGCCTTCAAAAACCACTCTGTCAGGAAACTCAGAACAAGAGATTGCACTTAGAGCAGCCTCTATATCCACTAATTGATCAGATCATGCAGGAGGCCAAGCCCATTCATTGTCATGAATCACCTCTGCTTCTTTGGTATGCAAACTAAGCCCAGAATCATATGCTATTCTCGGAGATTAAGCTTCAAGAAGAATGCCATGGGATTGCCAATTATCAAACCAGAGAGGGAAGTGCTCTTACCATCCCCGACAATATGTCTAACATGAGGTTTTAAAATAGATATCATCTGCCGCAATTTCCTCCAAGCATAGGGGCAACTTCTTTTAAGCTGAACTGCCCAAATAGACTGCCCCTTCAGCAGGTAACACTTGATCCATGCCACCCAAATAGATCCGGATTGAATCTGAATCTTCTAAAGGTTTTTTAGGACTCGGGCCGTATCACAAAGAACAAGCTTCATCAGCCCAAACCCACTTCGCCTTCCAAAGAGAAGCAATGCATTTACTCTAAATCATCTTCGCAACTTTTTTTTTCTTTGGCAGCACAAAGACCTGACACCACGAGTTCACTAAAATATAGATCACAGATTCAATAAGCTGGAGTCTTCCACCAAAGGAGAAGTGTCTCGCAGTCCATGGATTCATCCTAGAGGTGACCTAATCCAGAAAAGTAGACAAACTCCTCCCTTCCACTAAAGCAGCTTGATTGTAACTAATGAAGTGAGGCAAAACTTAAGTATGTTAGCAAGTACCTTTATGATACATTTTATAGATGATATTGCTGTTAGTGGTCTGCCCTAAGAATCAATCAAGGTTGATACTCTAATATTAGTTGTGGATTAGGTTGTGTCGGAAAATCGATCTTCACTATACTTAGGTAGTCATAATGTATTGCTAGAGACCGCTTATGACTTGTGGGCCAAAAGAGTTTTGGGCACACTGCTAATGTTTAGTGAACCTACAGGGTCGCACACAATAACGAACGGACTTAATATTGTCTATGCGCCTTGATCTACTTAAGAAGTGGATTTTAATTTATTCTCCTATTTAAATTATCTATGCGGTCGTACGCGTTATGAGATAACGATTAAACGTACGATTGAATGGTGGACGGTTTGGCGGGCCCAAATAGCCCGGCCCATTCCTTTTAATTCCGCTAGATAATGAGGCTGTATAAATAGATAGAGAATCGTTCTCTGTCCAGGGTTTTTCGACAGAGTATCGAAAAGCAAAAGGCGTTCAAGAAAAAGGAACTTCAAGATCTTTCGCTAGCACGTGGATCGTTGGAGAATTTCGTTCGTGTGTGTGGATACCGGTAGAGGCGCAACACTTGGGGCGCTCATCCGACACAATCGATTCTTGATTTATTTTTGATCTGCAAAAAGGTACGTACCGAAATTCCTTTTCGATTTCAATATACGCATGGATCCTGTCTAGGGTTCTATATTCCGCTGCGTTGTTTTTCGTTGATGAACCCTTCAGTGGTATCAGAGCTACTTGTGATATATTGAAGTTGAATTGGAAACCCTAATTGTTGATACATATGATGTATGCCTGAAGTGAGTCTAAATTAGGGTTAGATGAATTTGAAATACGAATTGATATGATCAATTGAGAAGGAACGAAGCAGGGATGGGTCGATGTCGATCCTGTTCCGCTCGCATCGAGGCAGTGACGGCGTCGCGCCCGGGCCGTTGCTCGAGGCGGAGACGGCGGCGAAGACGGCGGGCGGAAACGGCGTCGCGCTCGGGCTATTGCCCGAGGCGGGGACGCGCGGGCGGAGATGGCGGCGCGTGGGGCTGTTGCGCGAGGCCGAGACGGCGATCGGAGACGGGGCGCGTGCGGGTCTCATTGCCCGAGGCGGAGACGGCAGCAGCGCCTAGTCTTCCGGCGCGTCGAGGACTCGAGGCGTTCGGCCGCCGCGTACGGTGAGGGCGCGGGAGGCGGCAACACGGATAATCTCCCGAGAACACGAACTGAGACTTCGTTTATGTTTTCGGGACTCTCCTGGGAAACAGAATTGTGAATTCTGTCTAGGTTTCGGGGGCGCTGCCCCCGAGCCCCCGCGAGGGGCGCTGCCCCTTCGAATCCCGCTCGCTATGAGCCTGCCAAAGCAGGGTGTCTTTAACTATTTGAGTAAAATAGGATGGATAATGGTTATCCATAAGTCAAGATTGGTTTACTTAACGAGGCTATCAAAACGGTTTTGGGCCTTGAGGCATAGTATTTGGGGATAAGATATGAGATGTCAACCCTAATAACCAAGAGTTGTATTCGATACAATTGACAAAGAGTTGTCTACCTAAATAACTTAGTCTTGAGCGGTAAGCCAAAGTTTACTCGAGTCTTGGTAAAATATGGATCTTGGTCCACTATACTTTTTGGGACACATGTTATAAAAGTATAGTGGGAGTTTATTATTTATAATGTTAATGAACAATTCACTTTGCATATTTGTTGTAGATAATGGCAAATAGCTCTGCATCACACTTTTCACTGCGATCTGTCCTTGAGAAGGACAAATTGAACGGTTCGAATTTTTTGGACTGGTATAGAAGCTTGAGAATTGTTCTCAAGCAAGAGAAAAAAGGATTATGTCCTGGAGAAACCACTCCCTCAGAAGGCACCTCCTTCCAATGCTCCCCATGCTGAAAGGAATGCTTATCAGAAGCATAAAGATGATGCATTGGATGCATCATGTCTAATGTTAGCTACCATGAACTCAGACCTTCAGAAGCAGTTTGAGAACGTGGATGCCTATGATATGATCATGAACCTGAAAAATTTGTTTCAGGAGCAGGCACGCACTGAAAGATACCAAACGGTAAAGACCTTAATTGAGTGCAAGCTAGCAAGTGGGAGCTCAGTTAGCCCACATGTCATAAAGATGATAGGTTATATTGAAAACCTGGAGCGACTGGGCTCTCCCATTAGCCAAGAGTTGGCTACTGACATTATTCTTCAGTCATTGCCTCAAGATTATGACACGTTTGTTATGAACTATAACATGCATAATTTGAATAAGTTTTTGACTGAACTGCATGGGATGCTCAAAACTGCTGAGCAGAATATCAAGAAGGACCCTACCCCTAATGTTCTCATGGTTCAAAAGGGGAAAGGCTTTAAGAAGCCAGGTAAGGTCAAGGGTAAGGGCAAGGGCACTAAGCCTAAACCCAAATCCAAGACCAAACCTGGTCCGACTGCTGATGTTGTATGCTTCCATTGTGGGGAGAATGGACATTGGAAGAGGAATTGCAAGAAATATTTGGAGGATCTGAAGAAAAAGGGAAGTGAGACTTCCGATTCAGGTATTTATGTTATAGAAGT